GCCCGAGGCCCCCCGCGCGAGTGTTTGGCGTCAGTTGCACCAGCTGTATGAATCTGATTTGGAGCGCCTCCCCCGTTTTTCCTGGACTCGTGCTCACAGGTCCGTGGAAGAATGCATTGCGTCGTGCTTGTCCTCGGGGGAGCCTCTTGAGAACTTGTTCGGGAACATGTGGGCCGATCTTTTCGCGAAGATGGCCGCGCTTGACTTGGCGGGGTCGCCCTCTGTTGCCCGTGGGTTTAAGTTTGGGCTGGAGCAGGCGAAGCAGCGGATGCGATGTCTGGCCTTCGCGGCCGAGCGGGTGGCGAAACTCGCGTCCCCCGTCGTCCATCGGCCGCTGCCGCCTGCTCCTCGAAGGCGCAGAGAGCGCAAGGCGACCACCCACGCTTTCTGTCTTTTCCCCGAGGGCGCGACCGGCTGTCGGCAGTGCTAGCGACAGGCCACGACCCCCTCGTCACTCAAATCCCTCGCGTCCCGTGAGTGTGACCCCCAGCAGTTCGGCCCAGGGCATTTGGTCCAGGAGCTCGACCGTGTGCTGATCTGTGCCAGTTGTGGCGCGCATGCTGTGCGGCCCAACCGACTCTCGATTGGCCTCACCCGTGTTTGTCGGCCTCGTCGAGAGAGGGGCGGTGGTGGAGCTGGGGTGGGCGGGGCGCGGGGGGAGAGGGTTCAGAGAATGCTGCAGCAGGCCCAGCGAGGGCGCCACCCCAAGGCGGGAGAGGCGCTAGGCCCGCTAAGGCTCGCCCCGATTGCCCACGAGGCCGCCGCTCAGTCTCCTCAAGTCGAGGGGTCGGGGGTGGCGGGCGGGGTGGTCGGGGTCGCCCGAGGAGTCGGGGAAGAGGAGGGTCGGGGCCGTGAGCCGCGGGCTTGTACAGCGGCCCTGGGCGGGCCAGCGCCCGTGGCTCCCCAACCCCCCTCGGCTCCCGCGCCGCCACTCCAGCCCGAGTCAGGGGGCTCGGGCTAGCGGCGGCCTTCCTTCTCGGGCGCGTGGCCGCGCCCGTTCTCCGTTCCGAGGCCCAGTCGGGATCCCCTTCTGCGCCCTCGGCCATAGCGCCATAGCCCCTTTCTGGTCCTATGCCTCCTCCTTCTTCCCATCCTTCTCCTAATCCGCCTCCTGCTCCTCCTGCCCCTCATCCTCCTCATCCTCCCTTTCTTCCTTCTCCTTTCTCTCCTCCTCCTCCTTCTCCTCCTCGTCCTTGTCTTCGTCCTCATCCTTATCATCCTCCCCCGTCCTTTTTTGTTCCCTCTCCTGCCCCTGCTCGTCATGCCCTCCCTCCTCCCATTCATCTTTCATTTTTCCTTATACCTAATCCCTCCCTGTCGCACCCCCAGACGAGCGGTCGGACGGGTCGGACGTTTCGCTGGATATTTCCTCGCCATTTGAGACTTGCAACATCTTCAAGGGTAGAGGGCGGGTCGTTTTCAAAATGTGAATCTCGCTACCGTGAACATGCGTCTTAAAAGCTTGCAACAGCTTCAATAATGGATGGCGGCTGGTCTTCAACATGTGGTGTTCGCTTTATTTCCGCGCGCGTTCGCTTTGAAGCTAACTCCAAGCCCCAAGGATGGAGGGCGGGTGGGTTTCGAAACGCGGCTCTCGCTTCAGCGCCGTGTGCATCCATCCGTTTCGAAAGTCTACAGCGACTTCAGGCATTGACGGCGGTTCCTTCTGAAAATGTGGCTCTCGCTGTAGCGCCGCGCTCTTCTTTTGCATAATTCCACCAGTTTCCAGAATTAGTACGGCTGCGTCCCAGGAGTGGGGTTTCGGCACGACTTCGAGGAATACGTTCCAGCAGTGGCTTGCTGGCACGATTTAGGGTTGTCAGGACGCGACAGACGCGTCGATTTGCGGCGTTGAAGTCCCAAGCAGTTTTTTGTATTTAGGCACTCCCCGCAACGAAAGTTTTTTTTTGTTACAGGGATCTGTGAAGTGGGAACTTGGAAGGAGGGATTACTGTAACATCGTTGATGCGTCTTGGGTTTACACTGGACCTTTTCCTCCTCCCTCCTCCTCCTCATCGTCCTCCGCCGCCCTCCTCCTTTCTCATCGTCCTCCCTTTTCCCGCTCTCCTCCTGGTTCTCTCTTCCTGTTGCTCCACCCTGTCCCGGGCGTCGAAACAAATACATGGTCGCCAGCGCTTTTGTTCCTTACATGTTGGCGTCCGAGGGCGTCCTACAAACTGGAAGGTGCGAAATCCTTGTATGCGGGACGGCATGGGCACGACGGGATACATCAGTCCTTTCCACCATCCAGGGCCGAGAACTCTCGGAGCAGATTCTTCCATGTTTTTCTCCTCCTCTGGAACTTCTGGAGGAAGAGAAGGAGGATGAGGTGGAGGAGGACGAACAGGAGGATAATTTGAGAGGATGGTTGGGAGAAGATGGAGGAGTATTGCAAGAAGGAGAACGGAGAGGGGAAGGGATGAAGTTATGCGAGGTGCTATACCGGCGATGCAATGCCATTATGTGCATGCTTGGCAATCGAATTGCGGTATCAGTCCAGCGCGGCGAGTGGGGGTAGCCCTAGCCTGCTTGAGAGCCGTGCTGGCCAATCAGACCCCGATTGCCCATGCGGCCGAAAGGATGACAGACATGAGGAGGACGAGGAGGAAGATGAGGAGGAGGAGGAGGACCAATGGAAACCCAAGAGGCATCAACGATGTTGGAATTAGCCCTCCCTCCAAGCTCCCTCTTCATAGGCCCCTGAAACGGTTCATTTCCATTGAGGGAACCAGATTTCAACGCCACGTATCAACCTGATTGCTGCGTCTTGACGATCCAGAGTCGTGCCAGAACGCCATTTTTGGGACTTCAGCGCAGCGAATCAACATAATTGTTGCCCGGGTAATCCGGAATCCTGCCAAAACGCCATGACTGGAACGGTGATCAAGGGAATCCGTGAAACGGTTGCAACTTTACAGAACAAATGTGCGCGGCGCTAAGGCGAGAGCCACATTTTAAAAGGAACCGCCCTCAATCCGTGAAGTTCCTTCAAATGTTTGAAACGAATGTGCGCGGCGCTAAGGCGAGAGCCACATATTGAAAACCACCCGCCCTCAATCCATGGAACTTTTGCAAATGTTTAAACACGAATGTGCGCTGCGCTAAGGCGAGAGCCACATTTTGAAAACCATCCCCCTCAATCCGTGAAGCCCTGGCAAATGTTTAAAACGAATGTGCGCGGCGCTAAGGCGAGAGCCACAGTTTGAAAACCACCCGCCCTCAATCCGCGACACACTTGCAACTAAAACGAATGTGCGCGGCGCTCAGGCGAGAGCTACATTTTGAAAACGGCCCGCCCTCAATCCGTGAAGCCCTGGCAAATGTTTTAAACGAATGTGCGCGGCGCTAAGGCGAGAGCCACATATTGAAAACGACCCGCCTTCCATTTGTCAAACTGTTGTCACTTCCTAAGCTTCAGAATCATAAATGGTCAGGAAGTCTCCGGCGAAACGCCCAGCCTGTCCTAAAAACTAGCCTCGGGGTGCGACAGGGAGGAGCATCTAGAAGGAGAAGGAATGGAGAAGCAGAGGGGGAGGAGAAGAACAAATAGGAAAGAGACAATGCCGAAGAAGGGGGGTCAGGATGAAGAAATCCGCCTAGATATCGTACGTTTTGACTTTTTCAATACGGGGTCCCCATACATCCCGACCCTCCCCCCAGGGCCACCTTTTCATCCCAAGCTGTTTTCGTTGACGCTCCCGGGGCCCTACCAGGGCCCTCAGACGTCAGAGACGATGGAGAACCTCCGCCTTGTTTGTTCAACACGTCGAATGTCTGAGAGAGGGGCAGGGGAGTCCGTCAGGTAAGGCTTCGGGTTGCGCACAGCCAGCCCCCTCAGGTAGTCCCGGCTGGCCTCAACAGGCCTCCCGTAGTCCAGGGCGTCTTAGAACACCAACTTTGAGGCGGCGCCAGGGTGTTGAGACCGCACCAGACTAGGAGGACTGTTGAGGCCAGCTGGGACTCCCTCTGGCTGTCTGCGCGCAACCCGAAGCCTTACCAAGTACCAAGTCCATTCCTGACTTCCATGTATTTACCCCAACGTCTAACCCAAATATGAATGCACGAACCACATGAGAAAGCAATGGCAGCATCAGCAGCAAACGCACCAGGACAGCATGAAGAGGTCTCGGAACAAAACCTTTCCATGTTCAAGCATATCTTCGGGGAAATGAGGCCCGGCGCCGCGTAATAATTGCTGATACCCCCTGGGCCCGAAGGCGACATCCGATCAGCAATGTGATCGTCGGGTGTCTTTTTGAGGAGGAGGAGCAGTCGATCCTGGGCCTCCGCAAAAAAATGCCTTGCGCCGCCGCTGGCAGGCAGCGACGTCGACGTCATCGACGTCGACGTCCCGGGGCCTATCACAGCTCCCATTGTCACAAGTCCGTGTCCAGCGTACAGTGCAAGCGGGGAAAGCATCTAATGATTGTTGACGCCACGCAGGGCGTAGCATGACGAACTTCTCTCTCGTTTTCCCTAGTGTGTCTGGCCGCTTTTCTTGCGCGTCTCATCGATCCGTTCGTCACTGCAGCATCCTGGCGCGAAGCCAGCACTCTCCAGAGAGGGGCGAACCAGCGCTCCTGTTTGGCAAAATGAACGATTTCGGCTTTAGCTGCAACTTCTTTTCCTGGGCATGTGTTCCACCACCACCACCACCACCATAAGTTGGAGGGGGGAAGGAGGTGGAGGATGAGGAGGAGGACGAAGAGGAGGAGGAGGAGGAGGAGGAGGCGGAGGAGGAGGAGGACGAGGACCCCCTCCTCCTACCTATGGTGGTGGTGGTGGTGGTGGTTGAAAGCAGGCCCACCAGCTTTCAGATTGTTATTCCCTCCCCTAGCTACCCGCCGCCCCGCCGCCCCGCTGCGGGCTGCGCGGGCCGAGCGGCGGCCGCGTCGTCGTCGTCGTCGTCGTCGTCGTCGTCGTCGTCGTCGTCGTTGTCGTCGTCGTCGGCGTCGTCGTTGTCGTCGTCGTCGTCGTCCGTCGTTGTCGTCGTCGTCGAGGCCCCGCCCGGGCTCTTCATTCCTGGCGGCGGCGTACTGCGCGGCCCGGGCGCGCGCGGGCGGCCGGTTGGCGAGCGCGGCGTGCCGCAGCCGGCTGCAGGCCGGGGCGCCGCCGCGCACGGCCCTGGCGTGGGGAGGATCAGCGGCCACGTTTGCGGCCAGAAGGTCGAGGTTCGAAGGTTCGAAGCTGGGGGCTTTCTGGCGCTTTCGTTGGTACTCGGCGGCTTTCGAGCCTCGGGATGTCTTCCAGCGGCTGCGCCTCACCGAGAGCGTTCTGGGGGCGCCAGGATCGTCCCGAACGGCCGCCAGAGGCCCGAGTTAGGACCCGAATACTTGGAGGATGCGGTCAGAAAGTGTTGATCATGGACCAAGGGGGCGTGGATTAGCGACGGGCCCCGTTTTCATCGGAGATCGCGGCTTCCCGCCGCCGAGCGAGGCAGCACCAGCTGCATTTTGGGGAGGGTACCTCCCCCGATCCATGGAGTAGGCGTCCGCGCGCCAAATCCATGGATCGCTAATCCATGTTTGCGCGCCCCCGAGAGTAGTCCGGGGCGGTCTCAACATCCCATGTCTGCGGCGCGGAACGCCGCAAGGGCGCCGCCTCCGGCGGCGCCAGGGTGCTGAGACCGCCCTGGGCTATTCGGGGGTCTTGCTGACGTTAGACGGGACTACCTGGGGGGCTGTCTGTGTGCACTTCGAAGCCTTACCAGCCGATCCATGGATTAGGCGACCGCGCGCCAAATCCATGGATCGCTAATCTTAAGTCGGGCCTGTCCCTCTACAGGAGGGAAATTCCCAAATAGTAAATGATACCGGAGAAAAACCGTTATCAGGGCTATAGGGCTATGGGGCTATAGGGCTTCAGGGCTATTGAGCTATAGGGCTATAGAGTTATAGGGCGATCGAGTTGTAGGGCTATATGGCTGTTGGGCTATTGGGCTATGAAGCACCCCCGGGCACCCTCGGGAACCCCCGGGCACGCCCGGGCACCCGGGCACGCGCACCCGGGCACCCGGGCACCCCCGGGCACCCGGGCACCCGGGCGTGCAGCGAAAATCGGCGGCAAGCCTAACATAACCATATGAATCCGCTAGGACCCCTACAAAGGCAAGCTCTGATTGGGGAAAGATAATCTGGGGATCATTTTTTGCCCATTTCTGAACATCTGGGGCGTATGATTGAAGTGTTTGTAATTCTTCGCCCGAAATCCCCCTGGATATAGGGGGCCAGGCCCGACCTAACGCTAATCCATGCTCGCGCGCCCGCGAGTGTCGCGCCGCCTGCTCTGCCCCACCGCGCTGCGGCGCGACTCGCTGGCCGCCTCCCGGCATCCCGGGGCCTCCACGCCCCGAGCCTTTTCTCGCACGCCTCCCGCCCCTTCGGAGAGGAGCGGCGCGCGGTCCGCCTGCAGGTCGCAGCCTGCCGGAGGGGCGTCCGCGGCACCGTCTTTGGGCGCCGCGTAATGGGGGGGTCATAAATGGGGGGGTGGCGAGGGTGGTCCGAAAAGGTACCCAAACGGTACCTAAACGAGCCCCCTGGGGCTCTGGAGGGGCCCGAAAGGGGCACGAAAGGGGACCTTTTCTGACCCCCCCATTTGTGACCCCCCCATTACCCTGGCCCTCCAACCTTCCATACCTTCCAGGAGGCGCGCGCAGTTGCAAATGTGTCTCTTTTGTCTCTTTTTGTCTTTTTTTGTCTCTTTTTGTCTCTTTTCATGTCGCAATGTCTCTTTTTGTCTCTTTTTGTCCTTTTTTGTTCTGTGATGGCTGTTGATGGTTGTTAATGGTAGTTGGTGATGGTTGTTGGTGATGACTATTGATGGTTGGTGATCGTTACGGATGCTGGCGGCACAACGATTGGGTCCTCAATCGCCGCGCACCGCTGCGACTCCCTCCTCCAGCACCTGGGGTGCAACGCTTTTGGTGGCCTAGCTTTGGGGCGCGAAACGTGTGAGGTATGAGCGGTGTTGGGTTTTGTTTACGGGCGCGGTACGTTGTGCCCGTCGGGGTCGCGCCAGACCGTCGCGATGACGGCTGGGTCCACCTCCTCCCGCATCGCTGTACAGCGGGACCCACCACGTGGCAGGCACCAGGTGGTCCTGCCACGCAACGAAATACCACGAATCCAGCGGCTGTATGTCGGGCAGCGGCAGTTCGACCAACATGGGCGCCCACCAAGCCCGCGGCCACACCGTGGTCCCAGAGACCACGCAAGGGGCCGCGGGTTGGCGCCGCAGGCCTGCCCCAGCCAAGCCCACTCCCAAAGCTCGCGCGCCGCGCCGCCGCTTCCAGTCCCGATTGCCAGGGCAATCGGGGAGCGACAATCTCGCCGCGGCGCCTGCAGGCCACGCCCCTGGCCGACTCCAAGGGACGGCCGCCTGGCCGCGCGCGGCCTTTGTGGGGCGCACCACATGGAGCGCGGGCGAATCGATCATGGCCGCCATGGCGGCCGCGGGAGGAGCCCAGGCTGCTCGAGCGCCATGCGGAGGGTGAATGATGGTGGTGGTGGTGGTGGTGGTGGTGATGGTGGTGGTGATGTGGTGGCGTGGTGGTGGTGGTGGTGGTGGTGATGATGATGATGATGCTGATGATGATGATGATGATGATGATGATGATGATGATGATGATGATGATGTTGATGAGGGTGGTGAGATGATGATGATGATGCAGATTATCATGCTGGTAGTGATGATGAAGATGCTGATGATGCTGTTGATGATGATGCTGATGTTGTTGGTGATGCGGATGCTGATGTTGGTGATGATGGTGATGGCGATGATGATCATGATGGCGATGATGATGTTAATAATGATGATGATGCTGATGATGATGATGATGCTCCCAGGGTGAGGGAGAGGGAGGAGAAGGAGGAGAGGGATATGGATCCGCTACGACAGGAGGGCGAGGGACGGGAGGGGGCCAGTGGGCAGGAAGAGTTGGAGGTCGAGGGAGGGAGGGGGGGTCGAAAAGATGCCCGCCAAGCGAAACCTCGGCCGACCCACCCAAATCCTTAGAGCAGCAGGCACGAGCCATGAATTAGTGCAAGCAGTGTTTGGGGATAGTGATGGAGGGAAGCCGTAGGGAGAAGAGAGGGAGGGAGAAGGAGGATGGAGGAGGGATCGACGGAGGAGGCGGGGGGAAGGACAGGGAAGAGCCAGGAGGTGTGAAGAGTCGACTCCGCTGGGGTGAGGCGGGACGCCACTCTCCGGGGGGGCCTCCTCCTCCTCCTTCTCGTCTCCCTCCGCCTCCTCGAGCTTCAATTCTCCTTGAACGGGTCCGCCGAGATATCGCCTGTGGGTGCCGCCATGGCGCAACCTATGGCTATAATGGCGCAACCTGTGGCGCAACAAATTGCTCGGTTCGGTTGAGGCTTCATCTGTCTCGCGGCATCTCGCTTTCGTGGTTTCTCGTGGTGCTCGCGGTGTCTTGCGGTGCCTCGTGGTGTCTCGTGGTGGTGTCTCATAGTGGTGTCGCGGGATGGTGTCTCGTGATGAAGTATCGTGGTGGTGTCTCGTGGTGCTGTCTCGTGATCGTGGCTCGTGACGGTGTTCCGTGATGTTTCGCGAGATCGATAATGGGATCGATAGTGAGATCGATCGTGAGACCGATGAAAAGATCGATAGAGAGATCGATTGTACATTCTAACGTGGTATATATATATAGTGAGATCGATAGTGAGATCAATGGTGACATCGATTGTGAGAGGGATAGGAGCAACGATTGCAATATCGATAGTGGTATTGTGTGTGGGATCGATACTAAGAGAAACAGTGAAATCGATGGTGAGGTCCATTGAGTGAAATCGATTGTGACAATTGTGAGATACATCGTGAGATCACTAGTGGTGTCGCTTGTAAGAGCAATGGTGAGATCGATAGCGGGATTGATCGAGTAAGATCGGTCGAGTGAGACGATCCTATGAAACCGATCGAGTGTGATCGATGATGAAATCGATAGTGAGATCGATAGGGATATTGATAGTAAAACCGATCGGGTGATATCGATAGTGAGTGAGAAGTTGGTTGCTCCCCCCCGAACCTCCTTATCACCCGAAGGGTGGTCGTATAGGTAAAATGGCGAAACCTGTGGAGCTACTCCTCGTCTCCAGACAGCCGTTTTGGCTCAGAAGTATATTGAGGAGAGCGCCGGCGCTGCGGCTTCTTCCGAGCAGATGTTCGTCGAGCAGATTGCGTCGGCGCTGCGGCTGCTTCCGCTGCCGTCGGACCATCCTCCTTCTCTTCTCGCTCATCTTCCCCATCGTCCTCCTCGCTCCCTTCCCGCTCCACCTTCGAAGCCTCCCCCTCATTCCTCAAGGACCATCGGAAGATGACTTTCGTGCTGTGCAACTGGGACACGCACGGCTCGAAGCGCGTGCGTGGCCTGGGCGAGTTCATCATGAGGAGCCAGACTCGAAGTATGAATGTGAGGATGAAGGAAAGAAGGAGGATGATGAGGCCTAAAGGGAGGGAAGGGGGAGAATGAAGAGGATGCGGGAGGATGCGTGATGCATTAAAAGCAGTCGGAGGATGACCAGGAGAAAAAACAGGAGCAGCAGGAGGACGACGACGACGGGAGGAGGGGAGGAGGCTGAGCAAGATGGCGAGGAGCAGGATGGCCGATCACCAATGAAAACGGAGGGGGGGTGAGAGTCGAGAGGGTGACCCCGCTCCCGTAGGAGCGGCTGGCATCGGCCCCTGCGCAAGCTGGCGAACCTCAAGGAGGACATGATCTTCGAGGTTCCCGAGGTTGAACGGGCTGTATTCAAGGTGCTACTTATCTGTTTCCTCCTCCGCATCCTCCCCTCTTCCCCCTCCTGCTCCTCCTCCTGCCCCTCCTCCTCCTCTTCCTCCTCCTGCTGGTCCTCCTCCTCCTCCTCCGCCTCCTCCTCCTCTCCTCCTGCTCCTCCTCCTCCTGGACCTCCTCTTCCTCGCCCATCCTCCCTTCTCCCTCCTTCTTTTTACTGCCCGCATTCTCCCCCATGTTCCTCCCCCATCCTCCTCCTGCCTTTCCCCATCGGTGCTGGACTGCGACGCGCGGCACGCGTGCAGGGAGGCCAAGAAGATCGTCGACCTGCTGGCCGGATGGCGCCGTGTCGTGCGGA